AGCAAAAAAATAATTTGAACCAAATAAAACACAACAAATACATTGTAGTCACAAAAATACATATAAAACAGTAATAGTAATTTATTAACAATTTTATTAACAAATAATAACGATTTTACAATTTTTACATATTTTTTTACAACATTAATATCTTAGTCCGGATAAAAATAACATACCAATTTAATCGCAAAAAAACACAAAACAACATACAACACATTCAAAACAACTAATATGCATTATTTATACGAGTTTGGACATAAACTAAATCGGAATACCTCGATTTATGTTTTCCGGAAAGTTGAAGATTTGAAAATTTGACTCTGAAACAAGCAACCTACAACAATAGAAGGCTTGCCTAGGATGTGGGACCAACAATATCTATTTCTTACGGGACGGGTGGGGTCCACACGAGCTTTTTTTGTTGTTAATGGAGGGGGAAGACCATTTTTTTTTCCTAAAAACGAAGGGGAAGGGGATTGGGCAGAACGTGGGGGAAAGGGAAGGGGATCTGATATTTATATATATAAAACACGGTTCATTACCGCGCTTTATATAAAATGCTGTAATGGACCACGCTTTATATAAGACGCGGTAATGGACCGTGTTTTATATACTTGTCTTTTCAGCTACCACTAAATCGCGGTTTGTTACCGCGTACATATAAAATGTGGTAATGAACCGCATTTTACCTTAACGGTCCAAACGGCCATTAAGGTAAAACGCGGTTCATAATCCCGTTTTATATAGAAATATAACTTTTTTTACACTTAAAAACGTATTTTGAGTCCCAAAAAAACACATTTAGGTTCCGGACTCCCCTTATGAACCCTACACACAAAACAAATTTAAATTAATTGAGCTAAATTTTGAATACTATGATTAAATAAAATACAAAAGAGTCCATTGCCTCAGACCATCTCCAACCCTAACACCAAATTTCACACCAAAATGGTGTAACATAAAATTTACTCCAACCATTACACCATTTTTTATACCAAAAAAGAATATTTCTTCTCTCTCTTCTATATTATATTATTATCTTCTATTTAAATTTTATTTTTTATTTTCTTCAAACAAATTCTATCTTTTTTCTTTTTTTCATATTCATCACATATAATTCACATTCACCACTTATATAATCATTTATTACAAAATTATTTTAAAGGATAAATCAACTAAAAGTGAAATTATTGATAAAAGATAATTAAATAAATATCACATCATAGTCAAATTTAATTAAGTACCACATAAATATTCAACTTTCGCCTCTATTCTCCCATAAATGCTCGATTAATGCATTACGAAGTGCAAAATGCGTATCTTTATCCTTAACTTTTTGTGTCGAGCTAAAAATTATTCAAATCGGTGATCTTATGGTAACTTTGGTGCACCTGGAAATGACATAGTGGATTACTAAACTTATGTTTTATGTTTTTTAATGTAATTTCAATTTAATTGTATCCTCCTTTGATGTACTTTTAATTATAATGTATTTTTATTTTATGTATTGTTAATTTTCTTTTTTTAAATTTTAGTTTTCACTTTTCAATTTTAGCAACACTATATCTTACATTTGAATTTTTTATTTTTAAATAATGGTTATATTTCTTTTTATAGAATTATAATAATAATAAACTAACTTATAATTTTATATAAATATAATATATTTATATATATATATATATATATATATATATATATATAATATATCAAAAAATAAGATATTAAATTAAAATTATAAAGATCTTAATATAAAAATTAATTATAACACAATATATGATAAATTAAAAGTTTAAAAATAAAAAAATGAATAAAATAATAATAAATTAAATTTGGTGTTAATGAATAGTGTCGCACCAAATTTGGTGCGACACTATAATTGTGCAAAATTTGGTGTTTTATTGGAGCAAAAAAATATCAAATTTTACACTAAATTTAGATTTGGTGCAAAAAATAGTATACCCTTTTGAGATGCCCTCGTAAATTTCATAATTAGGAGAGTCTGAAAAGTCAAAGCGCCAACTTGAAAGAAGTAACATCTATGGACAACTAATTAAACCTACATCTCGATATGTCACACTCACATAACTAGGGGTGTTCATAAAAACTCGAAAAATCGGACCAAACCGAAAACCAAACCAAACCAAACCGACCAAAAAAGCGATACTTTTTTGTTTTGTTTGGTTTTGGTTTTGAATTTTAAAAACCGATCAAATTTGGTTTGGGTTTGGTTTTAAACAGAAAAAACCGAACCAAACTGACTATAGGAGTAGCTATTTCAAATTTATTATTACACCTATATATATATGTATATTGTGATACAAAGTTTCAAAAAATTTATGGTAAATGTTAATAGTTTGCACTTTTAATATAGTTTATTATCTTTACATTCTATTTTGATTGGTAGTTTTCTTTAGTTTAGTGTAAGAATCCATTTCGTGTTAAAAATAACATATTTTTAAATGAGTCCTTAAATTATTCATCACTATTCGATTCATTTATCATCAATATATTTTGGTAAATAATAGATTTCTCAAAGGGCAATTGATTTGATAGTGTTACATTGAAAATGTTGTCGCCGGAATATGTGTTTGGTAGTGTATGTCTTATATTTAAGAAAAAACTGACAAATAACCAAAAAAACCCAAAAACCGACATAAATCAAATCGAGAAAAAACCGACTTAATTGGTTTGGTTTGATTCTAATATTTGAAAAACCGACTTACTTGGTTTGATTTCTTTTTAGGGAAAAATCGATCCAAACCGAACAATGAACACCCCTACACAGAACAATTGACAAATATGGACTACTCTACCTATGATTAGACCACGCATACGAACGTGGAAATATATATATATCCACTTTGTCCGTGTACCATTACTTTTCTTTATCTAAAGGTTTTCGACTTTTATGCCCCAACCAAATGGTTAGGAAATTAGTATACGATGACATATTTCCAAATGGATTATTACAAACACAATAGCAATTTGACATTCGGGGTGGGGGTGGAGATGGGGTGGGGGGTAGAAAGCAAAAACACATTTTGATTTCGAACAAAATAAACCTGGATTTGAAAATTTGATTTTCTTTTTGCACAAAGTGGCCATGGTGCTTTACACGCAAGATAAACTTAAGCCAAGTGCTCCCCTTAGCCAACTTACGCCATCTCCGACCCTAGCCTTCATTTTCTCCTTCAAAATAGAGTAAACTTATCAGAATAGAGTAAAGTTACTTCAATCATTACTCTATTTTTTACTTCAAAAAAGAATATTTTATTTTATATTCTTCTCTCTCTTCAATATTATATTATTATCTTTTATTAAATTTTATTTTCTTATTTCTATTAAATAAATTCTACCCTTTTTTTCACTTATTCATCACATATAATGTATATTCCTTTCTTATATAACCATTTAATATATCTTATTTTATACCATAAATTTTTTAAATAATATAACTTGTAAGCAAATATTATAGATTATATACATTAACGATAATTCAAATAAAAGTGAAATCATTGAGATACAAGATAATTAAATACATATTACATTATGCTAAAATAATTTTCGATCCGACTCATCATGAATTTTTGCAACATGAACAACAACAAATAATGAAGAAAAGAAAGTCAACAATTTCCATAGTCACAACCACAACAATCCTCGGCCTCATTCACTCAATACTTTAATGATTTTGGTGTATTTGGAAACGACATAAGTCTCTACTAAGTTATTATACTATTTACCGTAGTTTCTATGTTTATGTATTTTCAATTTTAATGTATTTTCAATTTTCACTTTTCAATTTTAGAAACATCTATTATTTTATATACGCACCTTTCAATTTTAGCAACGTCTAATATTTTATATTCGCACCATTCATTTTTTGAGATGATTATATATTTTTTTATAATTATAACTTATAATAAAATTAACTTACAATTTTACACAAAAATAATAAATTCACGAAAAATAATTTATCAAAATCATATGCCAAAAATAAGATGTAAAATTAATATTATAAAGATATTACATAAACATAATTAGGTATATATAAAGAGATAAATTAAAAGAGTTAAATAATAAAAATGATATAATAAAGTAATAGGGAATAGTAATGGAGGAGATGAATAGTGTCACTCCAAATTTGGAGTGATACTATTCATCCCCCATTTTGCAGCCAAAAATGAGGGAGCGTTGGAATCAGATTTCTCCAAAAACTGACTGCATTATGGCAAAATGCAACAGAGTTGGAGATGGCCTTAGAAGAACGAAGTGCAATATTGTATATCTTTTCAAAAAGAAAGTGCACAAATAGTCATTTTAGGACTGTTATTTAGAAAATAGCTAGTACTTATTTTATTCCGAAAACTTGAACTAAAAATCTTAATTTTAGGACAATTTAGAATATTTGTGTGGCGAAAAATCGAACTGAAAAACTGAAACCTACTTGGTGTCATTTCTAGCTTTTTTCAATTTTGTCTAGGTAAAAATATTATAAAATTTAATTGTTATAACAGTAAAGTTATAAAAAAATGTTAATCACATTAAGTACTCCCTCTATTTCAAAAAGATTGCCTTAGTTTGACTTTATACAAATTATAATAAAGATAAACTTTGAGATATGAAATCTTAAATAAGATATATTAGTATTTGTGTGGCTGTAAAGTTTTTGAAACCTGTTGTCTGAACCTGTTATATCAGTTGTGTGGTTATTAATGCTTCTTATTAAGGAAATATTAAAATATGTCAATTTTTTTTAAACGGACTAATAAGAAAATAGTGTCAATCCTTTAAAGAAGAGAGTGATAAACTTTACTTATTATTGTAGCCAATTCACACTGGTAGGTACATATTTTTATTCTAGTGGATAAAATTCAGTTACTTTATTATTGTAATGAATAAAGTTTAATGATTTTATTGTTATAGTAATTAAGTTATTTTTAATTAAAATACTAATTAGTGACTTAACTTTTATAGTGAATAAAGATATGTGAATATACGTTGAAATTAACCCTCCGGTCATATAATTAACATGAAAATCAAACTGTACAACTTTAGAGCGCAAATTTGCACCAAAAAAAAAAGAGTACCACAATTAAATATTTATCTTCCTAAGTTCATACTTAACTAACTAATAATTGATGTCCACGTGTCAATAGTTCAACTTGACATCCAACTTGCAAAACATTTGATTTACTCTCCACTTCTACTGCTTCAGATTTCTCAGCTGCAACAGTTTTTCTTCTCCGTTTCACTGAACTATTTTCCGACGAACTAGCCGGTTCAGGCGATGCTCGTCTTTTCGCTGTAACTCGAACCGGTTCCGGTTCATTTAAACCGATTCTATGTGGAAAATTTAAATGAGCCTTTGAACCGCGCATTCTATAAGCCGCTTTATCATAAGCAATTGCAGCTTCTTCATCTGTTTCGTATGTTCCAAGCCAAACCCTAGCTCCATTCTTCGCCGGATCTCTAATCTCCGCCGCAAATTTTCCCCACGGCCGTCGTCTAACACCTCTGTAATGCCTTCCCCTTGGTGACTCAGTCGCCGGCGCGGCAGTTGTCTCCGCCGGACAAACCACAGGTTCCTCCTCCCTTAGCTCCGATTTTACTTCGCCGGCGGTGAAATTAAACGGCGACCATCCGACGTTAAGAGCGTCTTTTAAGAGAGTATAAATTACCATATCTTCAGAATCGTCGACTTTTAGTGGTAATTCGCCCCATGTTTCAGTTAAACATGGGATTAGACGACTGAAGCTTGAATTCCGGCGGTAAACCGGAAAGTCTCCCAGCAAATTCGCCGGCAGCAACTCTGTATAAATAGGTTGATTCATTTTGCTTTTGAATTTTAATTCTCTTGTGTTTATGAGGTTTTGGGTTTTCGTTTATAAGAAACGGTTTTGATCTTTTTGAAGCAGAATGAATGGGGAATATATATAGGAAAGGATTAAAGAAGATTCATTGCATCTGAGCAGAGGGGACTGTGATGTTTAGTTAATTATAATTAATGTTTTAATCAGTAATGGTAAGATAAGGGGCTTCTATGAAGTTTCTTTTAATGGGCAAGTGGGCAAGTTGTTTAGGTAATGTTTTTATCACGTGGCCAAAACAAAGGACACAACTTGAAGAAGGGGGTAATGATGATGTCATTGCTTGACGAAAGTCCAATACCTATTATTTTATTAGCCAATAAATTTATGTTTCTTTTGTAGTACTTTTTTTCATTTAATAATTATCTTTTACTTGAAATTCTTTATCCGAATAATATAGGACTTCGCATAAAGTAGACCCGTTAAGGAGTAGGATATTTCGGGAAAAAATCAGAAATAGCCAGATTTATAATTGATAATTGAAAAATAGTGAATATTTTAAAAATAATAGAAATTTAGTCATTTTTTCATGTAAAGATATAATCTGAACAAAAATATCCTTAAATCCGGAAAATTCCAGCATAATATGTTGAAGTTCAAATCTTTTACATATGAGATCCCAGTATAATATGCTAAAATTTCATAATGTGCTGGAGTTCCAACATAATATGCTGGAAGTTTAAATGGAGGAGCTCCATAATCCAGCATATTATGCTGGAATTTTCCGTTCCAACATCATATGCTGGAAGTTTATACGCAAGAACTCCATAATCCAGCATATTATACTGGAACTTTTTGTATTACAGTAAAACAGTGGATATTTTTCAATGACTTTGCAAATATTGGTTTTTTTTTCGATTACCAGTCTAAAAGTTGGTTAGACCATGTTATTTTCTTGATATTTCCTAACAAAAATTCCAATTTGGGTTCACTAATTAAGGGTGTCACAAGGTTAATGGGTAGAGCAATCTCAATCATTCTACCGTATTAATTGAGTACTGTTATAAATAGAATTGTATTTAAGGTAAATGTTTATATTTTAGAGAGATTTTAGGGATTATTACTTGGTGGCTAAGTCACTCTTTCACTATAAATAGAGGGGTTCTATTCCATTGTAAATCATCCCAAATCAATAAGAATTCTCTCTCTCTACTTTTCTCTGCAATACTCTTTTATCAATAAGAATTCTCTCTCTCTACTTTTCTCTGCAATACTCTTTTCTTCTTTTATTATTTTATAACACGTTATCAGCACTAGACTCAAACCAATTGAGTAGAGACATCGGCTTGATCCATGAACTTCCTTCAAGAATAAATTCTGGATTTAAGGTAAGTATTTTACTTTATTTTTATCTTTTAAATTCTTGAAATTTTATAATTTGATTTTAAACACAAACAAAGACAATATATTTTGTTATAACTCTAATAGAGTTTGTAAGAAATTATAACCGCCCAGATTGGTAAAATTTCTATGTCTTGCAATGATCAAATTCATGTATGATCATGAACACAAGAAGCGGAAACCCGTTCCATTAAATTTGCTTCTGTCATGACTCGAATTTTCCGCCTTCGGGACCGTGATGGCACCTAACCTTTTAGTTGCTAGGCAAGCCAACAATTAGAGATTAATACGCTAACTCTTAAACGATTCGATAAATAATAATAATAATAATTAAACCATAACAAATTAAAGAAGTGCGGAAGTCTATAATAACCCAATTAACACTTATACATAACTACCCCAGAATCTGGTGTCACAATCCACGAACTACTAAGATTTAACTACAAGTAAAGTGTCAGAAGGAAATGCATAGAAGGGGGACGTCAGGGCCTGCGGACGCCAACAGGACTACCTTGGGTCTCCGATCAGATGAAGCCAGCAGCTAACTCAGGATCAACTCGGTCCAGTACTGAAATCTGCATAGAAAGTGCAGAGTGCAGTATCAGTACAACCGATCCCATGTACTGGTAAGTGCCGAGCCTAACCTCGGCGAAGTAGTGACGAGGCTAGGACAAGACACATATATAAACCTATGCGATTAAACAAAATATAGGCATAATAACAAATAATAGAAGTTAAACGGATATTAACGGGAGGGGGAAAACATGCTGAGGGGAGTACAAGATCATGAGAATCGTAACAGTAAAGAAACACAACAACGACATGCTTTGCACCAATGGAAATATTAAACATAGCAAAAATAAGTGCACGGCATCACCCTTCGTACTTTTACTCTCATCCTCACCATAATAAATAAAAGAAACGATGATAATGAATATATAATGGCACGACATCACCCTTCGTGCTTTACACTCTTCCTCACATGATAATGAATATGAAATGGCACGGCATCACCCTTCGTGCTTTACGCTCTTCCTCACATGGTAATCAATAAAAATAACACGGCATCACCCTTCGTGCTTTATGCTCTTCCTCACATGATAATGAATATAAAATGGCACGTGTTGGCCCAAGTTCAGATGAAGTTTTGAAGATTGGCAAATGAACTCAGTCATGGACCAGGTTCATCATGTGAGACACAATGGTTATCTACTTATACATGTGAGATGCACGTGAAGAAGATAAGTCTCAAGGATCAAGAAGCAATATCTTCTGAATTGATCGAAAAGGTTGCATAAAGGATGAGGAGATGAAGTCTCCTAATGTGAAGAGAACTTAATCCGGATCAAGGATAAGGGTTGGAGTTTGTATTGTTGTAGGACTCAAATTCGACAAAGGATCAACAATTGAGTCTCAATCAAACTCTGATTACTAACTCATTAAATAACAATGATTGTTCTCTTTTACAGGTGTTGCACAAACGCAGAAGTAAAACTAAATTGAGAGCAAAAGAGCGAGGCAATTTTGCAAGCAATTTATGTGAAATTCAAGTGTGCATTCCTGAAGCTACTTGGACAAGATAGAAGAACCAATTCTATTGTGTTTATTCTTATTCTAGTTCAACTGTAGTAGGTGGTTTAAAGTTGTACCTTTCCAGCTTTCATAGAAGCAATTGTATTAGGTACTTTGAGTATTCAAGTTAGAGTTAACTTGAAAGTGTCGCAGCAGTTGAGGCTGTGTGCCACACTGGGATTAGAGTTTAATCCTTAGGTTTACAAGAGTTTTGTAAATGCTGTTTTTGGCTCAGTGATTTTAGTGGAAGTTTGGGAAAATCCTACTAAGTAGTAGGTCGTGGTTTTTTCACCTTTTGAGCCAGGTGTTTTCCACGTAAAAATCTCTGAATTCTTTATTTTATGCACTTTTAATTCCGCAAATAGTAGTAGTAAGTACACCTAGAAGAACCAGGTTCTTCTAGAGCGAAAATTGGGTACCACACAAATCACGCACCCTCTTGTGTGGTATTGACGTTTAGAACATCAGCACGGCATCACCCTTCGTGCTTTACACTCTTCCTCACATGATAATGAATATAAAGTGGCATGGCATCACCCTTCGTGCTTTACACTCTTCCTCACCCAAACAACAAAATAATAACAACCGGAAGATAAAATTATTAATAACAAGTCCCATTTCAACATTTAGTTCCACAACGTCAACCTTAACTTTGAGTCAATACGCAATCAATATCAAATTCTGTAAAACATGACAAGAGTTGCTCAACATAAAGAATAACAAGTCTAAGCATGAATAATATGAATAAAGAATACAACGATCACAAGAATAAGACTCACTCGCATGCTATGACCCGACAACAACGCATAGGTACTCGTCATCTCACCTATACGTTGTACTCAACAACCAAACACGTAGCAAATAAACAACAATACGTAATCCCTCAAGCCAAGGTTAGACACAACACTTACCTCGCTCCAACGACCAAACTCAAAGCTCAAGTACCGCTTTACCCTTCGCAGAAGCCTCCAGACCAATAGAATCTAGCAAATTACCAACCAAACAATTCAATTTAAGCTTTAGGAACTGCCCACGATAGCAAGGAATTCAATTTAGGCCATTTTTGAAAAAGTCAACACCCGGGCCCGCTTGGTCTAAACCCGAAATTCGGACCGAAACCCGTACCCATTTACCCCGTTCCCGGATATATAATTGGTTTTGGAATCCGACCTCAATTTGAGGTCTAAATCTCAAAATCCCTAGTTTCTAAACCAAAACCCCCAATTCTACCATGAAAATCTTAGATTCTAGGTTGAAATCTTGTAAAATGAAGTGAAAGATTGAAAGAAATGAGTTAAGAATCACTTACCTATGATTTGGGGAAGAAGTGATCTTTGGAAAATCTCCTAGAGGGTTTCTTGTTTTGAAAGATTTGAAAAATGAGCAAAAATTCCGTCTAAGTCCCTTTTACACAGCTACACATGTCGCATTTGCGACCTGAGCTTCGCAATTGCGAATCTCGCAAATGCGAAGGGACCATCACAAATGCGAGGTCCTTCACATCTCTGCTGCCTTCGCAATTGCAAAGGTAAGTTCGCAATTGCGAACAAGAACCTCCGCAAATGCGACAAAATGATCGCATTTGCGATCACTGCCCCTCCCAGCTTTACTTCACAAATGCGAAGGATTATTCGCAATTGCAAAGACTGTATGGCCCAGCTTCTCTTCGCATTTGCGATGAGAAGCTCGCAAATGCGAACCCCTCAGAGGTCGCAATTGCGATTCCTGACCTCGCAATTGCGAGATCAGGGGCCTGCAACACCATCAGTTACACCACCAATTATCTCCAAGTTCAAATCACTCCGTAGCCTATCCAAAACTCATCCGAGCCCTCGGGGCTCCAAACCAAACATGCACACAGGTCTTAAAACATCATACGAACTTGCTCACGTGATCAAATCACCAAAATAAGACCTAGAACTACGAATTTAGCACCAAATCAAATAAAATTCTTAAGAACACTTTGAAATTTCTACTTTCTCAACTGGATGTCTGAATCATGTCAAATCAACTCCGATAATTTCACAGACATGACTTAAATATTATGTTAAACTTGTATCGGGCTCCGGAACCAAAATACGGACCCGATACCAACAAGATCAAACATTAACAATTCCTTAAAAACCATTTAATTTTCAGACTTACAATTTTTAACAAAAATTTATTACTCAGGCTAG